ATATATATATATGATCACCCTTGCGAACTACCTCATCTCGGCCCAGTGTGTTGCTTATTACCTTTCCTTAAGCGAAAGTTCTACGCTGAATTCTGGACACACAGCCACATTTCTCCGTGAGGTCTCTGCTTACCAACGCCCGCTATTCCTGGTGCATGGCCAGCTTCCCTTCTATTATTTTGCTTATTTCTGCCTCAGTTTGCTCCCATGCCTATCTGCGCAAAGATATGCCTAACAACGCGTGTTGCAGAGTCTCCTTAGTCTGCATGTACTCAGGGAAAGAAGTTACCGCTGTCTTTAGCAGCAGCCACTGTTGTTGTGCGTCGCCACCGAATCAAGACGATGCTAATATCAACTTTAACTCTTTGGGCGCATATTTTTAAAGCCCAAAGTGGACCAACATAGAACAAGAAAGAATTCAATTCAATCACTGTCCTTTGTCCTGACTTTTATCATTCTCTTCTGCCGCCACGTGCGGCGGTATTCTTTATGAACTGTTTGCGTTGCTTTAATTGAATGAATTGAAGAGATATCCTTCAATGCAATGAGCGGCCCATTCGTTGGTCTCCTCCCCTCCACTGAGCAAAGTCTCAGCCTTTTCTCCAGGGGGAAACTGAATCTTCGACAGCGACAATTGAAGGAGCGTCCGCCAGGGGAAGCAGCCTCAATCCCTCTCCAGCTCCTCTCAGGAGAGCAGTTGGTTGCCTTAGGCCTCAGTATGGTAAGGAATACATGGGCTCTAGTGGGCTGTGCAGTCTGTTGCGACGGCTCAAAGCTAACGACGAGGAATGGCGTTATAGTTGATGGGACCGAATGGTTGAGAGAGAAAGGTGCAGTGTGCTATCCTCACCCCACAGCTGTCTTTCTTAACCATACTATACTAACAACTGTACCAAGACTGCACTGTCGTTGCCTTGGGCCGACGAGAATTGCAAGAAAACTCAAGTACTCAGTGCAGTTATAACTCCAAAAACAGCTGACTACTCTTCTTGTTTCTAAGCATCCTGAACAGAGCTCAAAAGGATCTTGCGGCTCTAAGGATGAGGAGAGACCTCTCCCCTATCTTGCAGAGTCACCCCCGCAACCCAGCACTCCACAGCTCAGTTTCAGCCTGTCAACTAAAACCATACATCTCCTTGGGTTCTAAGCAGCCATCAGACACCCAACTGTCTGTACACCCTATACACCTCAACGGTGGCCGGCCATATATATATATATTTCACTATGAGGATTCAGCAGCAAGTTTGATTCCAAGGCTGTTCTCAAATATCGAGCCTGTGAATAGTGGAGCTGTCTATGCAAATTCACTTTATACAATGTTGATGACCCACCTGAACGCCAACGGCAGTGTTATCAAGAATAAAGACCGATAAAGTGTATCTATATGTATAAATATTCATAAATATGTATATATACATCTATGTTTGTATATTTAATACACAATATAAGTACGGCTGTGGAACAGCAGGAATTGCTGGATAGCGGCTGAGCTGTTATTGTCTATGGGGTTTCAGGTGAACTGCAACCCCCGACGGGTTAAAGAATAGATAGGCACTTTGAATATATGGTATTTGGAGAATAATAATTGAAAATAAAGCAGAGATATGACTTTTGTGGTTGAATTTGCAAAGGGTTGTGTATTGAACACGCACTGGCAGTGGAGAGCGGAGGAGATGGATCTGAGGTGTAGAGAAGATATTTTGTTTTGATTAATATTTGTGTGGATTTATCTTCTTAATAACTTGAATATTCATTATGTTTCCTTACAAACTACCCGATATTCTCAGGTGTCTGTACAGCCTATATGATAGCGGCTTGCGTGTTCTGCACGACAGGGAGGTGTGCGGTGTTCTGCTTTTATTATTCAATGACTTACAGCGTTTGGAAGCTTTCTTGTTTGGAATAAAGTTGTTTATTGGATTTATTTGAGTCAATAAGACAATATAAAGGAGAAGAATGTCTTTTTTCTCCTCTTTTACACCCTCAACGAACGCATATCCTCTGCTCCGCTCCCACGCACACACTGCCCGCGACGTTGAACGACTCTGCTCTGCCGCACTGCAAATTGCATTGCTTTTCTTTTGTTTTTCAAAGAATATTCCATTATCTTTACATAAATAACAGAATAAACTCCTTAATTATTCCCTTCTTTCCCTCCTTCCGCACCAATGGCATCTAAACAGGCGGCAGCCCCTCCGCCTGTCGATGAACAGCGCGAATTCCACTTAGGCGTTCTGGGTAGTACAGGGTTTGTAGGGAAGTACGGCTTTAAATAAACTGTGGTTGAGCTTCATTACTTTAACTCTATTAGCAGACATTAATTGGAGGAGTTCAGGTGTACATACACACCTTTGGATGATTATAGACGCGGCTAAATCATGAGGGAGCAGCACTTTTTTCTTTTTTCTATTTCTGTACTTTCAATCTTTCAGCCATGCCTAGCCATTGTGTTATTGATGGCTAGCTGCATCTGCAGCTACCTTTCTTTCTTCTCTTACCCTCCATACACACCTAGGGTCTTATGATGCGTGTGTGTACGTGTATGGATTGCATGCAATATATTAAACTGTTACAGAGGCGTTGCAATTCATATACAACTATATATGTATATATATGTATTCATTTATTTATGTCTTTTCTTCTTCTTGTCCTTCTCCTGCTCCTCCCCCACCTTCTTCCTCTTCTTTTTCTTTTATTTTATAAATTTATTATTTTTATTTTTCTGCTGTCTTTCAGACTTATCGCCTCCTATCTCTGCGACAACTATGGTAAAGACAGCGGAGTGAAGTTTATCTTCGGTGGCCGCAGCGCTGTTCGTTTGCAAGAATTGAAGAAGTCTCTTTCTGTCAAATATGCAATCAATGAAGCAGACATACATACAGCTGTTGCTGATGTAGACGACTATAAATCTCTCCTAGACTTCACCAAGAGGTTAGCAACACAACTCCTAACCCCTAAACCCTAAACCCTAAACCCTAAAGAGGGGTTGTATTGAAGAAAGATGCTGATTGCGCTCTTTCGGGGAGATTTGTGCAGAGGGGCACTGCAGTGCATGAGCCCTAGCGGTTAGGGTTTAGGGTTTAGGGTTTAGGGTTTGTGGTTTGCAGATGCCGGGTGCTGCTGACGACTGTGGGGCCTTATATGCTGTATGGAGAGCCGGTGGCGCGTGCATGCGTTGAGACGAGGACGCACTACTGCGATCTTACTGGAGGTAACAAGTGCTGTTGCTGCTGCTGCTGCTGCTGCTGCTCTTGCTGCTGCTGCTGGATGCTTGCTTGGTGCTGGTGCTGATGTTGCGTCTGTTGCTGGCTGTGATTGGTGCTGTCGTTGCTGCTGTTGCTGCTATTGCTGCTGCCGCTGCTGTCGTTGCTGTTGCTGGTGTTGCTGCAGTAGTGGTTAGCGGTTGAGGGTTGGACGTGCGGTGTAGCTGCTGCCTCAATTTGTTCTAGTTGCTGCTGAAGCATTTGTTGCTGCTGCTCGACATGTTTGTTGCTGCTGCATTTGCTGCTGCTGCACGCAGAGATGCCTTTAGCTGCCGCTTGCTATGCTTGTTGCTGCTGCATTTGTTGCTATTTTATTTGCTTCTGCTGCTAGATATGTATGCTGCTGCTGCGTTTGCTGCTGCTGCTACGTTTGCTGCTGCTGCTACGTTTGCTGCTGCTGCATGCAGAGATGCCTTTTGTTGCGCTGCTGCATGCGCGGCACGGCTTAGCAGCAAAAGAGAGAGGAGTGAAGCTGATATCTTTCTGCGGTTTTGACAGCATACCCAGCGACATAGCAGTAATGCTTATTCAAAATAGAGCTATAGAAAAGACTAAGAAACCCTGCAGAGAGGTTAGTATATATATATATATATGTATCTAAGTTTATAGACGCTTATCTATAATATCTGTGTATCTATATATATATCTATATATCTCTTTCTGTATACCCAGCGACTTTGCAGCAACAGCAACAGCAGCAGCAGCAGCAACTGCAGCCTGCGCATTTGAACGTATGCATGTATCGAAGCAAATATATTTAGAAATGTTTCACGACACCCTCTTGCAGAATATCTGTTACTATATCTTTTAACTGCATTATATATACCTATATATATATATATATATATACATGTATGTGGGGTGTATGTACAGGTGAAGTTAGCAGTGCGCAGCATACGAGGAGGGATTTCAGGTGCAACGCTTGCGTCTGCATTGAACGTCATTGGGCACAAAGCGATGAACAGCCCCTATTACCTCGCAGCGCATGCAGTCGATGGACCCCACAACAGCCTCGCAGGGCTGCCTGTGCAACCCAGAGTGTAGGCTAACTAGTCCTCCTGCTGCTGCTGCTGGTGCTGCTGCTGCTGCTGCTGCTGGTGCTGCTGGTGCTGCTGCTGCTGCTGCTGGTGTTGCTGCTGGTGGTGGTTGGGGTGGTGGTGGTGTTGCTGCTGTTGCTGTTGCTGCTGCTATTGCTGCTGTGCTGCTATTGCTTCTGCTGCTGCTGTTGCTTTTATTGCTTCTGCTGTTGCTGATGCTGGTGCCGCTGCTATTTGTCTTGCTCCTGCTGCTGCTGCTGCTGCTGGTTTTGTGATTAGCTGCGCGTTGCATCGCGATGCCGACTTCGGCTATTCAACATTTTATGTGATGGCGCGCGTTAATGAAAATGTTGTTAGGTAGGAGGAAATATTTAATTAACTAATTAATTAATTAATAAATTAATAAATTAATTAATTTATTTTATTTGTTTATTTACTTGACGTTGTACAATTTGTTGTTATTTCTTTTTGCGGTGGTTTGGGGTTTTGTTTGCTTTGTTTTGTTTTTGTTTGATGCATTTCTTTAATCTGTTTATTTGTAGGTCTTCTGAGTTTGTTTATTTATCTATTTATTTATTTGTTTTATATATTTATTTTATTTATTTATTTGTTTAATTTTTTATGTGTTTGTTTGTCTGTTTCTTTTTTATTTTTGGGTGTTTGTGTTTGTTTGTTTTTTACATATTACATATACATGTTTAATTTGTTTTTATTTCTTTTAATGCCTTTAAATGTGTTTATAGTTTAAACTAATTAATGAATACAATTTAATATATATTAATAATAATAAGATAAGATAAGATAAATGAATAATTAAATTAATATATGTTTTGTGTGTGCATGATTTGTATAGGTGGACAAACGCTTTACTAGATTACCGATACGGTCGCGAGTTTGTATATTATGAGATGCTTGCATGCAGTTTTAATTTATTAAGTTGTGTATTATGTATGTTATGCACATACACAGCATTATTATCATTTGCATGCCCTATAACTAGATGGATTGGAAGCACATTAAAGCTGCTGCCTGCAGCAGGTGAAGGCCCGAGTGTACAGACACTTAATACAGGTTTCTTTAATATTGAAGCAGTTGGTAGAACAGTTACAGGTGAAAAAATTCATGCAATTGTTAGCAGCACTTTAGGCGATCCAGGGTATAAAGAAACAGCTAAGATGGCTGCAGAAGCAGCACTTACTGTTGCTTTACAGCTCAGCAGCTGCACACCTCTAACGGGGGTGCTATCGCCTGCTGCGGGTATCGGCGATCCGTTAGTTAAACGTCTTATTGCTAAAGGCATTACTTGCAAAGTTTATGAACAAACTAATACACAAACACCAGCAGCAGCAGCAGCAGCAGCAGACACGCAAACAACCAAGAAGGCTCTCTGACTCTGTTCATAATACACACACACACACACACACACACACACACACACACACACACACATATACGCATTTGCTGCAGCAGCAATACATGCTGCAGCAGCAGCACTTGCTGCACCAGCAATATATGCTGCAGCAACAATCCATGCTGCAGCAGCAATATATGCTGCAGCAACAATCCATGCTGCAGCAACAACACATGCTGCAGCAGCAATATATGCTGCAGCAGCAATACATGCTGCAGCAGTAATACATGCTGCAGCAGCAATACACACTGCAGCAGCCGCAGCTGCTGCCCAAGTGACTGTTTGCTGCAGCAGCAGCAGCAGCACAATTCAATGTTTGCGACAGCACCACCGAAACTGCAGCGGGAGCTGCAGCACAAGTATTCACATACACCAGCAGCAGCGATACATGCTGCAGCAAATGCAGCAGCTGCAGCAAATGCAGCTGCTGCATCAAACACATGAACCAATTTCACTTTGTGGCTGCCCCTTTAAGTCCGTTGCAGCAACAACAACAACAGCAGCAGCAGCAGCAGCAGCAGCAGCTGCTGCTGCTGCTGCTGCTGCTAATAGAAAAGCTCAGTGCCTCCAGATACCCATTTGAACAGAGACAGAAAAACGCAAATAGAGACAGAGGGAGGAAGAAGAAGACAGAGACAGATAATAATATGATAATTATATATATATATATATATTAAATGGTGTTGATAAATAATAATTAATAATAATAATGAATAAACAAACAACTTAGATAATTTTTATCTTTGTAATAATAATAATATTAGTTTGCTGTTCTTTAAGTCTCTGTGCAGCCCTCATTGAGGCTGTTGCTGCTGCTGTTTTTTCATCCTTCATCTGCTGCTTACTGCAGCAGCAATATGCAGCAGCAGCAGCAGCAGCACGTGCTGCTGCTGCTGTAGCTACTCTTACTACTGCCACAGCAGCAGCAAAAGCAGCAGCGTTTGCTTTGAATTGCTGCAGCAAACGCACGGGCTCATAGCCAACGTGCTGCTGCTGCTGCTGCTGCGTTACCCACGAAGGGCTTCTTCGTGTCGCCGCTGTAGGCACTCCACCACTGAAGAGATTGCTGCTGCTGCTGTTGCTGCTGTTCCTGCTGCTGCTGCTGCAGCTGTTGCTGCAGCTGCTGCTGCTGCTGCAGGTTAGCGCACGAGTTGGTCAGTTGATTCCCCCGCTTCGCGTCGAGGCCTCCAGGTCAGTGCAGCAGCAGCAGCAACAGCCGCAGCAGCAACTGCAGCAGCAGCAGCAGCAGCAAGGCCTTTAGAGGCCATGAAAGCCCTGTAGACAAGGGAGGAGATATAAGTACCTGCACCCATGAAGGCTATACTCAGCAGCAGCAGCAGCAAACCCGTTAGCCACCAGACAGGGTGCTGCGGCTGCTCTAGCAGCAGCAAACGCCCTCCTGCTGCTGCTGCTGCTGCTGCTGCTGCATGCGATACGGGAGCTACAGATGAAGCCGGCAGCAGCTTCAACGCATGCACCAGCAGCACCAACTCAACTGCAGCAACAGAACCCAGCAGCAGCAGCACTACGCATACACCCCAGCGAGCCTCCACAGCAGCAGGCGACAGCCAGCAAGGCAGCGTCAAGCTGCTGCTGCTGCTACTGCTGCTGCTACTGCTGAGCAGCAGCACCTGTGCTGCTGTGGTGCTGCTGCATGCTGCCTTCATTTCCCTTATCCACGTCTGAAGCGTCTTTATTAACAGCTCTGCAGCAGATGAACAGCAGCAGCAGCAGCAGCAGCAGCAGCAGCAGCAAAAATAGAAGCAGCACCTACGTACAATACACTTCACATTTAAATATAATATATAAGAATATATATTCTATATATATTACTATATATATATTGTTAATATTCTACACCTTATATATATTTTTATTTAATTAATATACTTCTTATATTTATTATACACAAAATATATATTATTGCATATAATACACCTTTAATAGTGTATAATATATTATATAAAATATATATATATATATATGTGTATATTATATATAATATATATATACGTATATTATATATATAATATATATATTTATATATATAATATTTATATTATATATATAATATTATACACATGAACAGTATCCACTAAGTTTGCGGTGTATGCAAAATAAAAACAAATAAAATAAACCCGCTGTGTATATAAAGCAGAGTAAAATAAATAAACAAACAAACAAATAAATAAATAAATAAATAAATATATGAGAAAGAGAGCAGAGACAGAAGAAGCAAACAGCAGCAGCAGCAGCAGCAGCAGCAGTAGACTGACGGTTGACCCCTGCACAAACTCCAACGGCAATAGGCACTGCAAACTTCAAGGAAAGCTGCTGCTGCTGCTGCTGCTGTTGCTGCTGCTGCTGCTGCTGATTGTCGTAGTCGGGGGGGTTGTGTTGCTGCTGCTGCTGCTGCCGCTCTTGCTGCAGCTGCTGCTGCAGCAACCGCTCCGTCTGTGGGGCTGCAATGAATCCCTCTGGAATAACGACATCCCCTTTGCTGCTGCTGCTGCTGCTGTTGCTGCTACTGTTGCTGCTGCTGCAGCTGCTGTTGCTGCTGCTGCTGCTGCGGTAGCAATTCTCTAGCTCCTGGTTGGTCTGCGTCTGGGTGTTGATTCCCGCCCAGCGTATGACTGCAGCAGCAAGCAGCAGCGGCAGCAGCAGCAGCAGCAGCAGCAGCAACACCTGCGGCTGCTGCAGCTGCCGTAGCAGCTGCTCTATAGAGAGGCAATGCCCCGGCTGAGGACCTGCTGCGGCTTCCAGTGCAAGAGCAGGCACCGCGAGAAACCCTCCTGTACGCTCAAACCCTAAACCCTAAACCCTAAACCCTAAACCCTAATCCCTAAACCCTATACTCTAAACCCTAAACTCTAAACCCTAAACCCTAAACCCTAAGAGCTACGGAGTACGGTTATGCTTCTGGTAGCCATTTGGGGGGCCTCTCTGCAGCAGTATTTAGGGTTTAGGGTTTAGGGTTTAGGGTTTAGGGTTTACCTGCTGCATGTATGGGAGGAACCTGCTCTCCGAGGAGACACCTTGAGAGCAGCAGCAGCAGCAGCAGCTGCAGCGCCCCGAAGCCAGAGACACTCGCAGGTAAGAAAGTATAGCCTAAAACTGAAAAGAGAGGGCAAAGCAGCGAGACCAGCAGCAATGCTGCTGCTCTCTCCATACGTAAACCCCACCACCAGCAGCAACGCAAGCTCCTGCTGCTGCTGCTGCTGCTGCTGCTGCTGTTGCTGCTGTTCGCAGCAGTAGCAGCAGCAGCAGCAGCAGAAGCGGCAGCAGGAGAAGCAGCAGGTATAACGACGGAGGCAGGAAACCGAGGGCTGCGAAGCAAAGGGGACCCTCCTCTTGGGGATTCTGCTGTTGCTGCTGTTGCTGCTGCTGCTGCCGCTGTCTGTTGCCGGCAGAGGCTCTTCCGCAGCAGCACCTGACCGACAGCTGAGCAGCAGGCGCCGCAGCAGCAAAGGCAGACTCCTACAAACTGTGAACCGAACATCGCTGCTGCTGCTGCTGCTGCTGCTGCTGCTGATGCTGCGGTTGCTGCTGGTCCCGCTGTTGTTGCTGCTGTTGCTGCTGCTACTGCTTCTGCTGCTGCTAGGGTGGGCCCATCGGTGCAGCGCAGCAGCAGCTCCCACGTGTCTTACTGCAGCAGCTGCAGCAGCCGCTGCTGCAGCTGCAGCAGCGAGGGGTCTAGATTCTGCTTGGTCCTAAACGAAGTTCTTAAGGCTACTGAAGTGCAGCTGTTATGTTCGCTGCTGCTGTTCTTGCTGCTGCTGCTGCTGCTGCTGCTGCTGCTGGCACTGCTCCCTCCCCCATTGGGGGGATGTGTAATATCTGTCTGTACACTTGGGCGTCTGCTGCTGCAGCGTATTGTTTGTTTATGTTTTAATTAACCCTAAAAGAATATTAAGTTAAAAATAAAAGATAATACCCTCAAAAAGAGAGGAAAAAAACAAACACAACAAACGAAAGACGCTGCAGCAGCTGCTGCTGCGCTGCTGCAATGACCAGACCAGACCGGCATCTGGGATAAATTTTTTTCATTTTTTAGTTTAAATATAATAATTTAAAACATTTATTACATTAAATATTCATTTTAAATCGAATAAAACATACACACATCATATACAAGCCAGCACACACAACACCAACCTGTACGCATCTAACAACGACCTATGCCTCCCAGCAGCAGCAGCAGCAGCAGCACCAGCAGCAGCAGCAGTAGTAGTAGAAGCTGCAGCAACGGCTGTCTTATATGCACCCACAATGGGTAAACTAGGGGCTGAATTAGCACTACCCCTATCGAAGCCCTGCCACCACTAGCAGCAGCAGCCGCAGTAGCAGCAGCAGCAGGAGCGTAAGTAGCAGCAGCAGCAGATGTATCCGCAACAGCAGACGCAGCAGCAGAAACAGCAGCAGCAGCACAAGCTAGCAATACGATAGATACACTGTAAATAAACCCCAACTGCTGCAGTTGTTCTCTTCAAAGGCGACAGCAGCAACAACACAAAACAACACAAATGCAGCACTAGCAGCAGCAGGCTGCTGCTGCTCTTGCTGCTCTTGCTGCTCTTGCTGCAGCGGCTGCTGCCGCTGCAGCTGCTGCTCCAACTGCTGTTGCAGCGGCTCCTGCCGCTGC